AAAAAAAGGGCATACAGAAATCAGAATTGAGAGCACTGAGCTTACAGAGGGGCACAAGTCTAAATGGGAATGTCCAGTGAGTGGATGGGTTGTATATACACAAAGCAACCCCAAAAGCTAACAAACAGGAACTGCTACAGAACTGAGAAAATAGAAATACTACATGAATAGCAGTAATAATAGGGAAGAAAAAACCTTGTGCCAAGGAACTCAGACTCCAGGGCTGTCAGAATTTAAGAACTCTAATTAAGGTTCCCCAGACATTCAGCAGAGATACCAAATAACTTTCCTTAGACCCATCCTGAAAAGTCACAGGAGTGACACTTTGTATTCTAAGACCTACCACATTAAGGGACTTGGGAAATATCTTGAACTTTCCAAAAATACACACTGACACAGCATAAAATCTATAAAAAGTTCAGTATGCCTGCTTAATCAAGAATCAATACCCTTCAAAGAAAGATAGCAGAACCTTAAATACTACACACATTATTCCAAATACCAATGCGGTTGTATCTGGAGTTCACAAAATTTTTTGTTGTTTTGTTTTGAGACAGAGTCTCACTAGGCAGTTCAGGCTGATGTTAAGCTTGCTATGTAGCCCAGGCTGGCCTTGAATTCAGTGATCCTCCTGCTTCAGCCTCTCAAGAGCTGGCATTACAGATGATTGTCACCATGCCCAGCTGGCAAACTTAATTCTTTTCATGATTCTAATCGCAAACCAAACTAAATGAAAACTGAATCAAATTCAATGGTTAGGTTCAATGTTGATCTTATGGGAACATTTTATTCACTTCTTGTTCAATTCAGTTTGCAACCAGAATCATGTAAGTTTTTAACAAGGTCCCACTTAGTCAAAACTCAATTGATACATCTAAAAAAAAAAAAAAAAAAAAAAAAACCCAACTCATTGGTAGGAGAACAAAAATTAGTCCGCCACTTAAATGCCAACTTACTGTTTTGTAATTCACAAGAAGGCTGGTGAAGCACAATTCTGGGTGTACCAGAGAGACCGTAACCTTGAGTATCACATCCGGTGGGTCACTCACTCACTCACGCGTTCTCTCACACTGTTTCTGTACTCTGCTTCCCAACTGTGCTTTTTGCTCTGCCACATCCAACATCGCATTTCTGCCTTGGAGCCAGTCCCGTGGAAATCACAAGCCAAAATAAAACCTCTCCTGAAAGTGTTGCAGTGGGTATTGGTACTATGTTCCAGTAAAGGAAAAACTGACTAATGCACTAAGACAGGAAAGACAACAGAGCACTTGAGAAAACTTCCAAAGTAGCTACTTTGAATATGTAATCCCAGCACTAAAGAGGCTGAGGTGAGAGGATCACTGTGAGCCAGAGGGCAGCCTGGGCTACAAAGTGAGTTCTGGGTCAGCCTAAACTATAAAAAGGTGGTGGGCCCAGGATATAGCTCAGTGTGGCATAGGAGGACCTGCCTGGCAAGCACCTGGCAAGCACAAGGTACTCAGACTGATTCCCAGTACCGAAAAAGCAAAAGTGAACAAAAAACTACAAAAATGCAAGTTTTAAAAGATTCATTAAAATTGTTTTGACTGGGATCACACCAAACTTAACCACAGGATTCGCAACATTGTTTTCCTATCTACCTTTTCTTTCATTCAGATCTTTTAAGTGCTTTGGCAAAATTTAAAAGAGTATCTTTTTGAAAAGCGTAATTATACGTGTTTTTATTACTTTATATTTTTCATGAGAGCTTTTCTTCATGTTTTCTATCTGGTTACTGATTTTTTCTATCATATATCCTCTTACCAATTACATTTTAATATGTAGAAGTAGTAATATTAGGCTATCTGCTTCCAAACTACAAAGGGACTGCTTCTAATCTTTCACTATTAAATATATCGGTATTTGGCTTGAAAGACTGACAAAAAATAATATCAAACTTGAAAGAAATGTAAAAAGAGCTGGGCAAGAAGGCGCACATACTTTGAAGGCTGAGGCAGAAGGATCACCTGAGCCTCTGAGGCCAGCCTGGGCTACATAAGCAAGTTTAAGACTAACCTGAACTGTCTCCACAAAAAAAAAAAAAGAAAAAAGTTTAAAAGAATGGATTTTTAATTTTAGCAAGCATCTATTTAGTATTACGAAAAAGAAAAATTGTAAGATTTTTACCCCTAACACATCAAAAGTACACTCACAATGCTGCTTAAGTACTCACATTCTTCGAATAGTATTCTCCCAGTGAAAGTCTACTATGTTTTAATATGATGCTAGACAGAATTTTCTATTCTGAAATGTTCTTCTCTGTGCTTTCTACATACCTGACTTTAAAAAAATATCCAACAGTTTGCACAATAACTAACTGTGGATTATCTGTTTTCAAATTACTATAATAGAGGCTGAGGCAGGAGGATCATTGTGAGTTCAAGACCAGCCTGGGCTACAAAAGTGAGCTCAAGGCCAGCCTGAACTGCATAATGAGACCCTGTCTCAAACAGACAAAAAAAAACAAAAAAAACTATAATAAAAAAGCAAGATGCACATAGAAGCACTCAGGAAACTTGTATCTAGACAGAACTTAACATAATAAAAATATATGTGAAAAGCTCAAAACTAACATTATACTCAGTAATTAAATACTGGAAGATTTCCCTCTCCCATGACAAACAAGGCCAGAACTTCCATATTTCCAATGCACAACATATATAATACTGGAAGTTCTAACTCAGAAAAAAAAAAAAAAAACAAAGCAATACATGGTATCTAATTTGGAAAAGAACTTCCCACAAGGAAAAGCTTTTAGAACAAATAAATGATTCTGCAACATGCCAGGATACCAAAAAAAAAAAAAACACCACACCTGAAAATCACTGCACCTATACACTGGCAATGAACTAAAAAAGCATTCCATCAAAGAGTAAAAAAAGTTTTTGTCAATTGTAAGGTCACAAGTGCTCTTTTTACTACTTGAGCTTATTTCTACCTTATAATAAAGGAACTAATGCATTTCTATTAATATTACTATTCTATTTAAGTTAATATTCTATTACATATTACTGAAATAAAAGTTAGTTCTGCTCATTAAAAAAAGAATACAACAGGGCTGGAGATGTTGCTCAGTGGTAGAACAGTTGCCCAGCATGTGTAAGGTCCCAGATTTGATCCCTAGCACCACACAAAAATAAGTTTAGCATTTAGGAATTAATGAAGGAAATAAAAGACTAGCACAATGGAAACTAAGAAATTAAATGTAAGAAAATGGAAAGGTACCCACATTCACAGATTGAAAGATTTAGTATTATGGTGTCAGCACTACCTTAAGCAAACTACACAGTCCATGCAATCCTCATTAAAATCACAAAGGTATTCTTTGTAGAAATAGAAAAATCCATCCCAAAATTAAGAGAATCAAGAAATACCTAATATCCCAACAAAGCAATGAAGCTGTAGACCACACTTTCTCATTTGAAAACGTAATACAAAACTATAATGATCAAAACGTGGTACTACCAGAATGATAGACCAATGGAACAGACTACAGAGAGCTCAGAAATAAACTTGTACATATACTGAATGAGCATCTACAAAACTGTCAAGTGTACTCAATGGGGAAACAATGGTCTTCCACAAGTGGTTGTAGAAAGTGGATTAACGTATACCAAAACAAAACAAAACAGAAAAGACAAAATAAAGATGGACTTTATCTTGAACTGTACATATAACGTACCAAAGACCTCAACCTAACATATGCATCACCTGTGAATTTCACACTTCTCAGTATATACCCAAAAGAACTGAAGACAGTCTTAAACATTTACATACCTACGTTTGAAACAGCATTATACACAAAAGCTGAGACAGATGCAACCCAAATGTCTATCAACAGATAAACAATAAGCAAAATGTGGTAACTACGTTTAATGGAACACTGTTCAACCTTTAAAAAGGAAATATTGACGCACACTATGATAAACATGAATCTTCAAGACATACTACATGAAGTAAACCAGTAGCCAAAAGACAAACATTGTAGGATTCCACTCATATGAAATATTCAGAGTAGTCAAAGCCAGAGAGAGAGCAGGAAACTAAAGTTTGTGGCTGCCAAGGGCCAACGACTGAAGAAAGAATATGGATGTTTTGTTTATTGGGTACATTCAGTTCTGCAATATGAAAAAATTCTAAGATGGACAGTGGTAGTGGTTACACAATGGGAATATTTATGTCAATACACTATGCAATTTAAAATGTTCAGAATAAATTTTGGTATACGTGTATTTTCTCACAATTCGAAAGCAAATTTCTAAGGAACAGTGGAACAAGATAAAGAATTCTTTTTGTTTATTTTAAAGGGAGTAAAATTAAACACAACAAAACAGAACAAAATAGGACCTAAGAAAGCAATGTAAGAAATATAAATTTCAAAACTAGATGACCTGAGATTTTCACTATCCATCATATTGTCTCTTGTTTTCTTCCAAATAGTTGTCCATGTCTTCACATACAGAGAATTCATACAGAACAACATAGTACAAAACTGATCCAAACAGAATGAGGAAGGTGTTTTAGGTCTTCAAAACCAGATAATAGGGAAGTCACTAATGACTATGACTATCGTAGAGTCGCTGTTCTCTTCAAAATAGCTGTCCATACTTTCATGTATATTGAAGTTCAACAAAACAAAACAGGCTAAAATACCTACACAATGCCTAAGGTCAGCCTCTCAAGGGATGTCTGATTACTGGCTCCCACTTGCTAATAGGGTGGAGGGAGGAGATGTGATGTTTGATTCTCAGCCAGCACACCACCATGGCATGGGTCCCAGTAAATGCTGGAGTCGCCAGTCCTGGACCGCCACAGCCTGCCACACTCACAGCTGCTCACGGGAGGGGGGGAGGTTGCTTGGTTTCTCGGCGCTCCAGGTCCCAGTATGGCTCAGGTTCCAGTAAACACTGGTAGCTCCTGTCCTGGGCCACTGCAGCCTGCCATGCTCACAGCTGCTCACCAGGGAGGGAGGGGTTGCTTCAAGCTGTTTCTTTCTAATGAATTGACTATTTTACTGCCCAAGTTCTGAAACGCCCAACAGACCATAGAAAAGCATCTCTTTACTCTCCTGCTTGAAACCAACAGCATGAGGAAGCTGCCGGCCTTGATGTAAGGCCAGGAAGAATTCTTTAAGAATAAAATACTCAGGAAACTTTTGGAAGTGAGGGGTACTGAGATCACATCTACCACCCTGGCAGTCCATGACCGGGCTATATTCTCAGCCTTTTTCAAACTTTGAGACAGGGTCTTGCTTGCTGAGGTGAGACTTGAACTTGTGATCCTCTTATCTCAGTTTCCCTAAATGCTAGGATTCCACTGCACCTGACTAAAACATTCTACCTTAAAAATTCAACAGATTGGGGCTGGGGATGTAGCTCAGCAGCATAAGGCATAAGCGCCTGCCTGGCAAGCAGGCAGTTGTGAGTTCGATCCCTGGTACCGATAAAAATGAAAAAGACCAAAAAAAAAAAAAATTCAACAGATTATCTAAATTGATTCCATATACATAATAATTTATCAAATATGCTCAAATTAAAAAGATATGGGCTCATTTAAAAAAAGATATTGGTTAAAGTTAGAATTCTATTTGTATTGTCATTTAATTCAGTTAGCATTTAAATGTTACATATTTCCCTAGAGTATATGAGATGCTGGGTTCAACTTCCAGCACCACAATTTTTCAAAAAAAAAATTTTTTTGTCTTTTTGATATGGAGTCTTGCTACACTGTTCAGGCTGGTCTTGAGCTCACTTTGTAGCCCAGGCTAGTCTAGAATTCCCAACAATCCTCCTGCCTCAGCCCCTCAAGTGCTAGGATTATAGGCATGTGCCACCACTGCTGGCCACAGTAAAAATTTAACATTATAAATATTTTAATAGGGGCTGGGGATTTAGCTCAGCAGCATAAGCACCTGCCCTGCAAGTGTGTGGTCATGAGTTTGATCCCTGGTACCAATAAAAATAAATAAATAAATAAATATTTTAATTTCTCCATAGTAAGGAGTCAATATACAGATAGGCTAAAATATTTTTGGAAAATGAAGTATTCTAATATTGTAATATATTGTAAAAATTTATTTTCTAATCTCATTCTCTAATCTTTGCATCAATTTATCCCATGGGATAAAAGTGATAGGACATTAATACGTACTAATAAAAAATATATTAAAAATAAAATTTTAAAAGACATTTAAACACACACACACACAGAGAGAGGACAATTTCTAGTACTGAAAGACATCTCCTAAATCAACTATATACAAAAACTCAAGTACCCTTTTCTAAAAGAAAGAAATCCAGTATGATATGTTTTTGTGTGAGGGTATGCTGCTAACAATAGCACCAGACATGCTACATATGGGGAGCTTCCTTACTCTCCTTATCAAGCTGAATAAAGGACACAGTATGGAATATTAGGATTAAACAAGGCCACATTGTCTACAGATTCACATCAGCCATGATGTCTAATTTCTAAGACTACAACTATAAATACCATCCTATCAATCAAAGTAGCCTTTATCAATTCATCACTGGTTCATTTAGTAGCTATACCATTGTGAGGCTCTTGGGGGCCCAAATTCTTACTTCATCAGTAAAAATTTAAAAGGTACATCATTTGAGGTTTTCTTCATTGCACTATCTGGGCAGAGGAAACAGAAACATCTAAAGTCTCACCATCATTGAGAGTCAACACAGAATACATGGGCAAAAAGCTATAGCAAAATAAATGAACCACGAATTCTGTTGTTACTGCACAGTACTACTACTTGAAGACTGCAATACACTCCACCCCCATTGTTACTTGTAATATACAAGTTGTATTAGTAAAAATTAGTGTTTAGCAACATTCAGGACTCTGAATTATTTTAACTTTTTTGCAATTTGATATTATAGTAATAGATACATGTCTAAGTCTTTTAAAGAATATACTTCAAATTTAAGTGTAACATTCTACAAAGCAAATATAAACTGATTATTTTGGTTAGTCTAGTAAGGTCTAAAAAATCTATCATATTGGAAAGTTACCAGTAGTACTTCCAACACTTGATTACAGGCATTAAATATTTCTGACTGAGAAAAGTTAAAGCAGACTACAAAAAACATCTGGAACTCATGAGGCTTGATAAGGGAGCAGGATTCAGATCCAAGAAACAAGAAGAAAAAATAATACGTTTGCTTAGATAGCTGGAGATAAATCTCAATGGTTTATCTCAATGGCCTAGCACATGTGAGGTCTTGGGTTTGGTCCTGATAGCGAGGCATAACACAATTGACAATCAAGGGACCTGGAATAAGGAATTGAGCAGAAGGGTATGGAAGAGAGGAAATGAAATCAGCCAGCAGCACACTGCTGATGAAGCTGCATGATGGTATATCCAAGTTTGCTGTACTACCCTCCTCTGTAGTTTTAAATTTTCTATAATTTAAATTCATAAATAATAGAAGTGCATAATATACTCAGTAAAAAGCTGCTCTATATTTAATAAAATCTGAGTTTCAACTGACAAGAAAATGTGGGATTTTTAAAATATAATGGACTACTATTCTACCATAAAAAAGATAAGCTCGAAACACTTTTAGGTAAATGGACACACCTTGAGATCATACTCTTAGGTGAAACAAATCAGAAACATGTGTAAATACCTCATTGTTTCTCTGGTGTGAGAAACTGAAAGATAAGGAACAAACAGAAAATGCTCAATGACCAATGGAGGCAGAAAGGTAAAGGGAAGAAAAAAAGAAGTGAAAACTGGAAACAAAGCTTTTGTAAATGGGGAGGGGAAAGCGGACTAAGGGAAGGTAGGAGAAATGGGGTAAGAACAAGTTATATCATGTACAAGTACAAATTCTCTATAGTGACATGTGATCAATATCTATAGCTAAAATGTATAGAATTTTATTTTAAATGCAAGAAAATAAAATAAAATAAATTGACCTTGGGAAGCCAGTAAGATTAATTTTTGTTTTCATGAAAATACACACAAAAAAACTTCACAGAAGTCATATTAGAAGCTGTCCATGTATTGCATACCTAAATTAAAGCTCAAGTTAATCAATTCTCATAAGTACTGTATGCTCATGTTGATTGAAGAGATGGTTTCTGTCACTGTGGATATGCTATTAAATAAAACTACAAATCCCTAACCAAAAGAATAGAAACACAAGTCTCTTTAACAGCCAAAGTAGAAAATGACATGGAAGCAGGCAGATTTTCCAGATAAAGCCTTAGAGTGGTTGTCAATATACCTAAAAGAAATCTCGAAAAGTATAGATATAAAGACTTCTCAAATTATTTTAACAAAAATCAGGCCAGGGATATATAGCTCAGCAGTACAGCGCCTGCCTGGCAAACATGAGGTTGTGAGTTTGATTCCCAGTACATACACACACACACACACACACACACACACACACACACACACACACACAAAATCACAAACATTTAAAGATTATACCAAGTTTAATCTTACTAAGGATATTTAGAGGCCCACCTGCAACCCCAGCACTATGGAAGGCTAAGGCGGGGGTGGTCACAAGTGACTCTGGGCAATGTAAGTGAGTTAACAAAAACCATCTCTCAAAATAAAAAGGACGAGGGATGTTGCTCCATGCAAACGTCCTAGGTTCAATTCCAGTATCTTTCTACCCCTACACACACACCCTCCTCAAAATTTAGACTTACATTTCTCCAAAAGAAACCATTTTTCAAGCTCATTTTGCTATCACTATCTTTCAATACAAGTAAATGAGGCAGGAAATATGTTACTAAGTATGCCAAAATTAACCAGCCATATACTCAAGTCAATTATTTAAGATCTGATACACAGAAAAACTGTTATAACTATACTTGTCAAAAAATATAATAAATACTGACAGGTATGGTGGCACACACTTATAATCCCAGAACGTGGGAGATTGAGGCCAGAGCATTATTGTGTTTGAGGCCAACCTGGGCTACCCAAGTAAGTTCAGGGCCAGTTTGGACTACATAATGAGGCCCTATGTACAAAAACAAAAAACAAAAAACAAAAAAAAAAAATCAGTAAGTAACAGACAAGAAACAAAGACAGGGGCCGGGGGTTTAGCTCAGTGGTGTAAGCACCTGCTTGGCAAACGTGAGTTCAATCCCTGGACTATAAAATCACACACATTTGTTTAAAAGGTATTATCAAGCAAATGAAAAAGAATCGACAGAATGAAGAAACAATCTGTAAACTACACACTGATAAGGGATTTTAAAAATGGAAAAAAGGGCTGAGAATTTAGCTCAGCAGCATAAGTGTCTGCCTAGCAAGCACTGATCATGAGCTCGATCCTCGGTACCAAAAAAAAGAGAGAATAAAAGAGCCAGACATAGGGATGTACAGCTGTAATATCAACACTCTGGGAAGTCAAGGCAGAAATTTTGAGTTAGAACCCAGCTTGGGCAATTCAGTAGCCATCACAAAGATATACAAATGACACTTTAAAAGCTCTTCTACATTGTGAGTGATCAGAGAAACGCAAACCAAAACCACAATGAGATACTGCTACGAACACTAAGATAGCTATAATCAAACTAAAAGTAAATACAGGTAAGGATAGAAAGAAAATGGATCCTTTATACAGTATAGGTGAAAAGGTAAAGTATAACCATCTCAGAAAACAATCTGGCAATCCCTCAAAATGCTGAACAAAATTATCATGTGGCCCAGCTATTTAACTCCATAAAAAAAAAATCTTCACATATATTCAGAGGTAATATTCATAATACCCAAAAAGTGAAAACAACTCACGGTCCATCAGCTGACGAATAGATAAATAAAAGGTAGTTTATCTGTACAATAGCACACTGTCCAACAACAAAAAGAAAATTCTGATACATGTTATACATGAATTTTGAAAATACCAAGCTAAATAAGTCAGTCAAGACTAGATGTTATCTGATTCCATTTATATAAAATGTCTAGGATAGGCAAACCCACAGAGGTAGGAAAGTTAGTTATAGGGGGAGAGAAGAATGAAGTTATTGATAACTGGTATGGAATTTCTTTATGGAGTGATGAAAATGTTCTAAAATAGTGACAGTAATGGGTACAGAATGCTGAATATACTAAGAATCTACATTTTAAATACATGA